CGTAAGGGACACTACCAGAGAGAGAGGACAGGTTGAACCAGAGAGACTGGACCTAGTATTCACCTTGAGCAGTGCATTTATTGAGGACATCACATTTGAAAGACCTTTTGGGGCCATGGATCATGTGGTTCTGAGCTTCGAAAAGTGGAGTTAAAAGTGGAGGGGGAAGTAGGAAGGGCCGGACGAATGAAGCCAAACTACAAGAAAGGGGACTACGCAGGCATGAAGAACTTCCTGGATGGGGTTCAGTGGGACAGAGAACTGGCAGGGAAGTCAGTAAATGAGATGATGGAATATGGGACATTAATATGCAAGGGAGCTGAGGAGAGATACCCACGGGTAACAGGAATAACGAGAAAGCCAGGTACAGGCCAAAACCAAGTGTGCTGGGGAATGGAAGAAGTATAAAAGGCAAAGGCCACAGGAGAATAAGGAGAGCAGTCATAGAGCCAGAAATGAATATATACAGGTAAGAAGAGAGGCCCAAGTATAATACATCACAAATGCATCACAAATAATGCATCACAAACCTACTGGAGTTCTATGACAGGGTGACAGCAGTAAGACAAGAGAGAGAAAAGGGATTAGCCTGAGTTTTCTTCGACTGTAAGAAGGCGTCTGACAGTTCCACACAAGAGATTAGTGCAAATGCTGGAGGACCAAACAGGGATAACAGGGAAAGCACTGCAATGGATCAGGGAATAAATGCCAGGAAGACAACAGTGCGTCATGGCACCTGGCAATGTGTCAGAGTCGGTGCCTGTGACGAGCGGGTTCCACAGGGGTAAGTCCTAGGACCGGTATTGTTTCTGGTATTTTGAACGGCATGACGGAAAGAATAGAATCAGAAGTGTCCCTGTTTGCAGATGTGAAGTTTATGAGAAGAATTCAATTGTACGAGGACCAGGCAGAACTACACAGGTATCTGGTCCAGCAACTGGCTCCTGGAGTTCAACCCCAACAAGTGCAAAGCATGAAGATTGGGGAAGGGCAAAGAAGTCTAGGGGCCTAGAGACTACAAACCTCACTCAAGGAAAATGATCTCGGGGTGAGTATAACACCGGGCACATCTCCGGAAGCGAACATCAACCAAATAACTGCTGCAGCACACGGGCGACTAGCAAACCTAACAAGAGCATTCTGACATTTCAGTAAGAAATCATTCAGGACCCTGTACACCATGTAAACTAAAGCTATATTCGAGCATGCAGCACCAGTTTGGAATCCACACATAGCCATGCACGTACGGAAATTAGAGAAAGTGCAAAGGTTTGCAACAAGACTAGTCCCAGATCTAAAGGGCATGTCTTATGAGGAGAGGAAGAACTTTGTCCATAGAAGCAAAGAGGTGAATGTATGAGAAAGTAGTTATACCAATGCTCTTATATGGATATGAAGCATGGGTGGTGAATGTTGTAACAAGGAGAAAGCTGGAGGCAGTGGAGATGTACTGTATGTTTGAGTTTCAAAAGGGTAATATTTATTAATGTTTATTAAGGGATTCAGAGAAACCGACAGGCTAGACTTGAGTTCTGGAGATGGGAAGTACAGTGTCTACACTCTGAAGGAGGGGTGTTAATGTTGCAGTTTTATAACTATAGTGTAAGTTTATCCTTGGCAAGATGGAGTGAATGATGGTGAAAGTTTTTCTTTTCGGGCCACCCTACCTTGGTGGGAAATGACCTATATGTTATATGTATATATATATAATATATATATATATATATATATATATATATATATATATATATATATATATATATATATATATATATATATATATATATATATATATAATATATATATATATATATATATATATATATATATATATATATATATATATATATATATATATATATATATATATATATATATTTTCTCCATGGGGAAGTGGAACAGAATTCTTCCTCCATAAGCCATGCGCGTTATAAGAGGCGACTAAAATGCCGGGAGCAATGGGCTAGTAACCCTTTCTCCTGTATATATTACTAAATGTAAAAGGAGAAACTTTCGAATTTCCTTTTGGGCCACCCCGCCTCGGTGGGATATGGCCGGTGTGTTGAAATATATATATATATATATATATATATATATATATATATATATATATATATATATATATATATATATATATGTCGTGCCGAATATGTAAAACTGGTCAATTAGCAAGAACTCATTTAAAATTAAGTCCGTTCTAAAATTTTCTCTTATACGTTTAAAGATATATTTTTTTCATTAATGTTATTGTAAAAAATTTTAATTTTGCACCAAAAGAATCTTAGAAAACTTTCCTAACCTTATTATAACAAGAACAATTTATTTTAGCCTAACCCAACTAAACATATTTTAGATTTGTTTACAGTAATTTAATACTAAACAAACACAGTGAAATATATTTTTTTCGTTAGGTTCAGAATGATTTTGGCGAAATTATTGCATACACAAATTTTCACTTGTCCTATATGGCAAGATGAACGTTGCTATTTAAGCCAAGATCGCAAATTCTGCCTATTCGGCACGACATATATATATATATATATATATATATATATATATATATATATATATATATATATATATATATATATATATATATATAATATATATGCAAAACAACCACTCTGAAAGAATAGAGAAATTCCAAGCGCTTTCGTGACTACTCACATTATCATAGTTCCTTGATAATGTGAGTAGTCACGAAAGCGCTTGGAATTTCTCTATTCTTTCAGAGTGGTTGTTTTGCATATTCTGAAATCACCTGTTTACTGTGATCTTATTGCATATATGTATATATATATATATATATATATATATATATATATATATATATATATATATATATATATATATATATATATATATATATATATATATATATATATACATATACATGTATATATACATACGTATATATATATATACATATATATTGTATGTTTTTTTGTGATACAGAGGTTCTATACAGACAATGCTGGAAAGAAACAAAACAAAACAAAAATTTAAAGGCTTTGAATTTATGAAGAAATAATGCTACTCATATTCTTACCTACTAATTATTTTTTTTCACCAAATTCACCATATCGATTCCGATGTTGATAGTGGCAAGTCGAAGACACTCGTCCAGTCTTTCATTTCTTATTTGATTTCTGGTTTCAGATTTTACATGCTTCGTAGTAAAAAAACTACGTTTACATATATATGTACTACCGAACACTGAGTCCAACTTTATTACAAAGTCTCTCAGCTTGGGGAATCTATCGTTGCAGAGCAACTTAGAGAAGCTCTCCTGATTTTCCTTTTGCTTTGCAAGCAACAGTGAGTCAGACCGCTGTTCACACATACTGAAGCTTTGGTAACTGTGTCTCTACATTAACTTCCATTGGGTTGTTATTAAAAGGAAACTGGGTTTCAGTTTTTCACTCTCTAAATCTTTTCTCAAACTCACCAGTTAAATTTTTATTTTTTTCTAACAAAACCTGAAAAGTCTGACTGGATATAATCTGCCATGAGATCACAAGAAGTAAAGTGTGCAATGTAATTCTTTCTTGAGCACAATCAATAGCTGCAGCTTCTTGCGGAGAGCTTCAGTGTGTCTAACTAGTTGAGAAATATTTTGTTGTTTGTCTTGTAAGCTGAGTTTGGTACACTGTGTATTGCTCAGCTGATTATTTTTGAAAAAATAAAAGGATATCTTTCCGAAGAACAAAGACTTGTTGGAGCATTTTTCAGCACTCAGCCACCTGATACTTGAGTGCTGTGGTAGATCATAGAATTTTGCATTCAGTTCTTCAAGGAAAAAATTGGAATTTTCTGCGTTTCTGTGACTTATTACCGTCTCTGATTAAATAAACTAGTCTGACAACACTCTGCATGACATCCCTCATATGTAATACCTTGCCACATAATGTTTCATGATGGATAAAGTAGTGTAGTGTAATACAATCAACTCTATTTTTCAACAAGCCAACTAACCCCCATTACTGCCGGCTATAGCTCTTGCAACATCTGTTAAAGTACAGGAATACACATACAGGACACGTCCCCACTCTGAACTAATCATGGTCATGGAGTGGGATTCTCACTCAACTGTAACGTTATCATTCTAGTAACCTAGCATTATTTCTCATACATAACTTAAGTGTCGCAGATACTTAAATGCTTTTTATAGAAGAAAATCGATATATTAATATGAGTCCTCACGGGCCACAAAATATCCAACCCGCGGGCCCGTAATTGGACTACCCTGGCCCAGAGCATCAGGCTGGCTCAAAATTATTTTATCATAGCCCTGTCCATGCAGTGAAGTTCGGAAGTCTCGTGGTCCTGGGTATGGAGATGACCGCCTAGTGTTAGCTGGGCATCTATACCCAAAATGATGTAAAAATGAAGATCTCGGGGATAACGAAGGCTCAGTAAATATATAAATAATATTGCACAAAAAATATTATTAAATAAATATATTTATATTTGATTTTTACTGGAATCTATAATTCCATTTATAGATATTTGATAGTGCTCGTATAATATACACAAATCTGTTTTGCGGTAATACCCAAAAAAGTTGGCCTACCACTGGATCCTCTAGATGAAACACTGTACTTCGATGCAGAATGTGCAGGTTCAAACCCGCTGTAGACTGTCAAATAATTCTTGGAATGTGACCTGACCTAAAAATAGAGTATTATGTTTTCTAACTTTGTAGGGAGTGTTATCTTTTCAGAATTGCATAAGAAAATGCAAAAGCATAATCTGGATATTTTGGCCTCAGATTAGTATGGTTTGACGTAGCTTAGCATGACATAACATAATGTTAAGATGGAATTTAGCGCCTTGATACAAGTCTCAAAAAAGTACTTTAGGTATTTTAATGTTTGGGTTAAGACAGTTCATAGTCTTTATGTGATTTTTCCTCATGGTCATTGAGTATCATAATGCTGGTGGTACAATGGAATTAGTCTTTATATAGATCTTTCTAAAGTGCTTGAGTTGGTCTACAGATTCTTTACTGACGGAGGAAGCATCGGCTTTAGTTGGGGACGGGTGGCGAGTCCTGACCCCACGGGCGGGCTCACTCAGGATACGAGACGCCCGTGCAGAGGACAGTGGAAGGTACCTGTGTTACGCCCACAACAATGTCAGCCCTCCCATCTCTAAGACAATATCACTTTCCGTCCTGGGTGAGTTAAACACTTTTACATTTCCTTCCTGGACCTTTTTTTTTGGCCTTGATCTCAGAAACTCGTATATCCAAGCTAAAATGTTCTTCCCAAAATTCTGAGTGTTACAAAGGAACCTATATGCATTTTGTATTCATGATTATTATCATTTCATTAGAATTCATCGAAAAAAATCTTCCAAAAAAGACTAAGTTCCCTTCATTACTAACAGTTGGAATTTTTGTTGATGTTACATTTAAAATTGTACTGGAGAGAATGAACTTATGCTCTGGGTCAAAAATCAAAATGCCTTATATTTAATTGTAACTGAATGCAGTTATGACTGGAGATTCAACACATCTCCAGTTATATTTGAAAAAGTCTTTTTTATCCTTCGACTGTTGACTGTACCATGTACTCACCTATTTGTACTCACCTATTTGTGGTTGCAGGGGTCGATTCACAGCTCCTGGCCCCGCCTCTTCGCTGATTGCTACTAGGTCCTCTCTCTCCCTACCCCATTAGCTCTATCATACCTCGCCTTAAAACTATGTATGGTTCCTGCCTCCACCACATCACTTTCTAGGCTATTCCACGGCCTGACTACTCTATGACTGAAGAAATACTTCCTAACATCCCTTTGATTCATCTGAGTCTTCAACTTCCAATTGTGACCTCTTGTGTCTGTGTCCCATCTCTGGAACATCCCGTCTTTGTCCACCTCGTCTATTCCGCACAGTATTTTATATGTCGTTATCATGTCTCCCCTGACCCTCCTGGCCTCCAGTGTCGTCAGGCCGATTTCCCTCAACCTTTCTTCATAGGACAATCCCCGTAGCTCTGGGACTAGTCTTGTTGCAAACCTTTGCACTTTCTCTAATTTCTTGACGTGCTTGACTAGGTGTGGATTCCAAACTGGTGCTGCATACTCCAGTATGGGCCTGACGTAGATGGTGTACAGAGTCTTAAACGAATCCTTACTGAGGTATCGGAACGCTATCCGTAGGTTTGCCAGGCGCCCGTATGCTGCAGCAGTTATCTGATTGATGTGCGCCTCAGGAGATATGCTCGGTGTTATACTCACCCCCAGATCTTTTTCCTTTAGTGAGGTTTGCAGTCTTTGGCCATCTAAACTATATTGTGTCTGCGGTCTTCTTTGCCCTTCCCCAATCTTCATGACTTTGCATTTGGCAGGGTTAAATTCAAGGAGCCAGTTGCTGGACCAGGCTTGTAGCCTGTCCATATCTCTTTGTAGTCCTGCCTGATCCTCGTCCGATTCGATTCTTCTCATTAACTTCACATCGTCTGCAAACAAGGACACTTCTGAGTCTATCCCTTCCGTTATGTCGTTCACGTATACCAAGAACAGCACAGGTCCTAGGACTGACCCCTGTGGAACCCCGCTTGTCACAGGCGCCCACTCTGACACCTCGTCGCGTACCATGACTCGTTGTTTCCTCCCTGTCAGATATTCTCTGATCCATTGCAGTGCCTTTCCTGTTATGTGTGCCTGGTCCTCTAGCTTTTGCAGTAACCTCTTGTGAGGAACTGTGTCGAAAGCCTTCTTGCAGTCCAAAAATACGCAGTCGATCCACCCTCTCTCTCTTGTCTTACTTCTGTCACCTTGTCATAAAACTCTAGTAGGTTTGTGACACAGGATTTTCCTTCCCTGAAACCGTGCTGGTTGTCAATTATACACTTGTTTCTTTCCAGGTGCCCCACCACTCTCCTCCTGATGATCTTCTCCATGACCTTGCATACTATACACGTTAGAGATACAGGTCTGTAGTTTAGTGCCTCATGTCTGTCTCCCTTTTTAAAAATTGGGACTACATTTGCCATTTTCCATACCTCAGGGAGTTGCCCAGTTTCAAATGATGTGTTGAAGATCTTTGTTAATGGCTCACACAATATCTCTGCTCCCTCTTTAAGGACCCATGGAGAGATGTTGTCTGGTCCCACCGCCTTTGAGGTGTCAAGTTCGCATAGCAGCTTCTTCACCTCCTCCTTGGTTATATGTACCTCATCCAGCACTTGCTGGTGTGCCCCCCTGTTCTGATTTCTTGGAGTCCTACTGGTTTCCACTGTAAATACCTCTTTAAATCTTGTGTTGAGCTCCTGACATACCTCTCGGTCGTTTCTTGTGAATTCCCCATCACCCTTCCTCAGTCTGATTACCTGGTCCTTGACTGTTGTTTTCCTCCTGATGTGGCTGTACAACAGCTTCGGGTCAGTCTTTACTTTTGATGCTATGTCATTTTCATGTGTGTGTATGTGTGTGTGTGTGTGTGTGTGTGTGTGTGTGTGTGTGTGTGTGTGTGTGTGTGTGTGTGTGTGTGGGTGTGGGTGTGTGTGGGGGGTGTGGATGTGTGAGTGGATGGGTGTGTGTATTCACCTATTTGTGGCTGCAGGGGTCCATTCATAGCTCCTGGCCCCGACTCTTTACTGATTATTACTAAGTCTCCTCTCTCCTTGTTCCATGAGCTTTATCAAACCTCGTCTTAAAACTCTGTATGGTTCCTGCCTCCACTGCTTCACTTACCAGACTTCCACTTCCTAACAACTCCATGACTGAAAAAAATACCTCTTAACATCTCTGTGACTCATCTGAGACTTCATCTTAAAATTGTGACCCCTTGTTTCTGTGTCCCATCTCTGGAGCAGCCTGTCTTTGTCCACCTTGTTAATTCCTTGCAGTATTTTATATGTCATTATCATGTCTTCCCTAACCCTCCTGTCCTCCAGTGTCGTCAGGCCGACTTCCCATAAAACCATTCGACGTAAGACATTCTCCTTAGCTCTGGGACAAGTTTTATTGCGAAACTTTGCACTTTATATAATTTCTTGACGTGGTTGATCAGATGTGGATTCCAAACTGGTGCTGCATACTCCAATACGGGCCTGATGTGCACGGAGTCTTGAATGAATCCGTACAGAAATATCGGAATGCTATTCCCAGGTTTACCAGGCGCCCATATACTGCAACAGTTATCTGGTTGATGTGCATCTCAGGAGATGTGCTCGGTATTATACTCACCCCAAGATCCTTTTCCTTGAGGGATGTTTGCAGTCTTTGGCCACTTAGTCTATACTCTCTCTGCGGTCTTCTTTGCTCTCCTCCGATCTTCAGCACTTTGCATTTGGCGGGGTTAAATTCGAGGAGCCACTTGCTGGACCAGACTTGACGCCTGTCTAGATCCCTTTGTAGTCCTGCCTCATACTCATCCGATTTAGGTCTTCTCATTAACTTCACATCATATGGACTGAACCCTGTGAAACCCCACTCGCCACAGGCGCCTTCTTACAACTCATCATGTACCATGACTCGTTGTTGCCTCCCTGTCAGGTATTCTCTTATCCACTGCAGTGCCCTTACTGTTACGCGCGCCTGTTCCTTTAGCTTTTGCGCACATCTATTGTGAAGAACTGTGTCGAAGGCCTTTTTGCAGACCCAGAAAATGCAATTTATCCACGTCCTTCTTGTCGTATTTCTGTTATCTTGTCATAAAATTCCAGTAGGTTTATGACACAGGATTTTCCTTCACCGGGCTGGTTGTCGTTTATAAGCTTCTACCTTTCTAAGTGCTACACCACTCTCCACCTCATAATCTTCTCTATGACTTTGCATACTATACACGTCAGTGACACTGGTCTGTAGTTTAATGCCTCATGTCTGTCTCCATTCTTAAATTTGGTACTACATTTGCCGTCTTTTGTAGCTCATGTAGTTGTGTCGTTTCAATGGATGTGTTAAAGATTGTTGTTAGTGGCTCACGAAATCTTAATGACACGATTGCAAACAAACCATACCACGGGTGGGGTTAGAACCAGCGATCAGAGAGTCTCAATACTCCAGACCGTTGCGTTAGCCACTGGACCAGCTAGGTACAATAAGATTCATCCATCTATATGCATTTCTACACCAGATTCAACCAAATATACCTAGTTGGATGAATCTTATTGAAGCTAGCTGGTCCAGTAGCTAATGTGATGGTCTGGAGTTTTGTGACTCTCTGATCGCGGGTTCTAACCCCACCCGTGGTATGGATTGTTGTTAGTGGCACACACAGAGTCTCTGCTCCCTCTCTAGCCCACGGAGAGATGTCTGGTCCCACCACTTTTGAGGTATCAACTTCACTTAGCAGCAGCTTCTCCTCCTCCACGGTTATATTTCATCGAGCACTTGTTGGTATATCCCTTGCTGGTGTATCCTCCTATTCTGACTTTCCTGAGTCCTTTCTGTCTCCACTGTAAATACTTGTATCTCATGTTGAGCTTCTCACACACTTTTTGGTCCTTTCTTGGGAGCTCCCTATCTTCTTTCCTCAGCCTGATTACCTCTTTTTTGACTGTTGTTTTCCTCCTGATGTGGCTATACAATAGCTTTGGGTCAGACTTGACTTTCGATGTTATGTCGTTCTCGTACTGGCGCTGGGGCTCCCTCCTTGTCTATACATAGTCGTTTCTAGCTCTTCAACTAATCTCTTTATTTTCCTGGGTCCTTTGTCTTCTGTACATTTTCCATTCTCTAGTGCATCTAGTTTTTGTCTCCCTACACCTTCGGTTAAAGCATTGGCTCGTTCTGGTCTTCCCTTTATTTCCGTTGCCCTTGGCAACAAAACTCTCCTATGCCTCCATGCATTATGTTGTCACACAAGCCCTGATTTCGATAACTGATTTTTTTACAGTTCTCTTTTCCACTGAACCTCTCGCAGGAAGTTCCTTATGCCTGTGAAGTCCCACATTTTATAGTTTGGCTTTTCTCATCCTACTCATGTTACCCTCTCCATGTGTAACTACTATGTGCTCAAACCTCAGAACCACGTGATCACTAGCTCCAAAGGACCTTACATATATGATGTCCTCAATGTCCGAGCTACTCAGGATGAACACGAGGTCCAGTCTTGCTGGTTCATCCTCACATCTCTCTCTTATAGTATCCCTAATATGTTGATGCATGAGGTTTTCCAGTACTACATCCATTATCTTGGCTCTCCATGTGTCGAGACCTCATGTGGCTC